ACATATGTTTTACAGCAGGGTTCTTGGGAAATTTCCAAAAGAAGAAACTGATAGCTTTGGATCCATGTCAAGCTGTCAGAGTCAGTATCAGGTTCTTGTGGTTCCCAGTAAACAAAAGTATTGTTTTAGCAACAAGTGGTGTTTGTGTGACGTACCTCGGGTTTATTTTGCGGAAGAAAGGATACAGTTGCGACCCAGTTAAGCCTCAAAAGGAGCTAAAGGAACTTCAGCTGCCCTCAAATGTTTGTTTCAGCCACCCTGCTCTTAGAAAAGGTAAAAGGTATTCCACTTCTCAAGCAAAATCCTATCAAAGCAAACTTCACAATTCTAGAGATTACTCACCAAAGAAAAAGTATGTGCTCAATCCTGAAAGATCATTCCTCCAAACATGTCTGGAGGCAAAAGAGTTGAGTAGAAATAGTTTAATCTCTTCAGTACGGATTGTGCACTCCTTGGCTCCTTAGCGAAGAAAATAAGTGGAGGCTGATAATTAGCACGCAACTTTTAAGGACATTTTCTGTGTCAATTATACACATTTTAGGTGATTAGCTTGTCTTTTAGCACCCCAGTCTCCTTCCTAACTTGTTACAGAATGACGCTCGGTCGGATTTGATAACACGTGGTTGAGGTTGTGACTTCAAACCAAACTCCTTGGTTGTGTCTGGTTTCCTGTTGAACTTATTTGGGCCCACGGGAATGTGTCTGCTCTGCTTGTATCCTACACACAGCCTAATCACTTTGCATTAAAATAAACTGACAATTATGTGTCTACTTTTGTATTCACATTTGTGGTTTTAAGTAAAATCTCTCGAGATCTAATGGTAGAATTGTTACAAATTATGGTAAAGACATTCATGTTCCCCTGAGGTTGGAGAACAATAAATAAGGCCGTTCATTAAAAACGCCTATGGATACACCTGCTATTTGTTCATAAAATCTGTATATAGGTTCATCCTACCTCAATCAAACTTTTACTGTATCATAGTGTCATCCCAGGTATATTTCCAGCTTTCAAAATGTTTCATTGTGCATGTTTGTGTTATCCATAGTACAAATAATATCATTTTCAAAATCTGTTTTTACGTTTTTTATGCGGTTTTGGGTCCAAAATGTTCATATAGTATGTCAAAATGTAAAAAATAACTATCAGTTTATATAGGTGAGGTTGTCTTAAAAAAATAGTTACTAACATTGACATGCTAAACATTTCTTAATGGGGTTTAGTAAGACAAATCAAAAGTATGCGAAAATGGCCAAATTAGCCCAGGACTCTAAAGGGTTAATCTGTTTTTAGTGCTAATTTTACCATTGTCTTTTTTAGAATTGTCGCATGTTTGCCGTTAGCATTTAGCCTCAAAGAGCTGCTAGCATGGTAGCTTCTACTCATATGTGTGTGTAGATGTGTGCTCTGAAGTCCATGTATGCACTGCTTCTCTCACACAAAGTAGAGTTGTCTTTTGCCTCAAGAGCCAACACATGGATCCTATGTGCAGCCCTCTGTTTTGACACCCCGTATATGGAACTACAAACACACACTGTTTCCAGTTTGGCACCAATATGGAAGTGAGGAAGGAGCACAAGAGGGCCATGCATGGTGTTAAGGAGAGTGGTGCTCTTCACCAGCTTTTGACACTAAATATCTGGGAAGGGGGGGGGGGGGTTGTGAATATGATCAAGGAGTCTTTTGTTGCCTCACACTGAAAGGTCCTTGTCCCTTTGCCTGTGAATATGCTCAGCTCACAGCACGTGTCAATGTAGCGCTACCAGTGTGAGGGAAATGCACAGAGAAGGTCAAATAAGCAGCTAGCAAAGAACCACAGAGTTTGTTCACATACAGCCCTACAGAAAAGATTCCACATCAGCGACCATATGTAATTAACTGTTTTAGGTAGGTAGCAATAAAACTGTATTTGTCAGTTTTCTTGAATTCCTGCCTCTAGCCACTGAGACTGTCTCTATCATGCGGGCTTGACCCAGAGATTGCCAATTTGTGTTTGTGTCTTTGTCTGCCGCTCGAGTACAGGCGTGTGGTTTTGGCGAGGGGACGGAAAAGCTGGGGGATGGAGCTCGATGTGGAGGGGAAACAGGACGAAGAAGAGGAGGAGAGGATGATGTATTTCGGCTTCACACGCCATAAACTCAGCTGAGGTGAAGAGTTCATGCCAGGGGAAGGAGATGTATATAATTTAAAGTCCAGGAGTATAGAAATGTGCTACAATAGAGCTGTAACCTCAACAGTGAGGTAAACAAAAAAGACTCCTACTGTCATATTTCAACTTTGATAGGTGCATGAAGACAAGGGGTACTAGTAGGGATGTCACAATACCCTAAATGCAGGGCCGTCCCTCCCTACAGGCCGATCATGCAGACTGCGTGGGGCCTCACCTCGCAGACGGGGCCTCATCTTGCGGAGGGTGCCTCAACTGAGCCGAAAATGCGGCGCACCTAAGCGCGTATGCGGCGACGCCCGCGAAACAGAGGGCCTCATCATATAACTTTGCGTGGGGCCTCATGTTGGCCAGGGACGGCCCTGCCTAAATGTACTCAATACCAAGACCAGTTACATTTCATGATTCTCCATAACGATCATAAATAAAGAACAAACCAATTTACTTTAACATACAACCCTTTCTTACTGTATATATTGTTGTATATATAACCTCTCAAGCTACTACATATATCCAATGTACTACAACATACAACCCTTTCTGACCCTTTCTGTTTATTTTGCTGTGAAAACATCTCTAAAACATGTGTATTTAATGAAGTTTCTTGGGAATAACAACTAACAGCTTGTACTTGCTATGATTTCAATTCCTCATCCTTTCATTAAATGCATTGTTATGAAATGACGCCTGCTACCACCAAAACTTCTCTGAGCCCCATTTACCGGGCACCACGGTCGTTTCACAGTCTGTTATTGTGCCACAGGCCTGGCCTTTCTCACTGCCATCCCCATGAAACCGAGTACAGACAGTTTCTGCCTGCTGATGTCATCTCCCCCCGTTGAAGTGATCGCCCTATAATCAGCCTCTTCTGCTCTGTGATTGGATCGTCCGATCTGCCCTCGTCTGGCTTCTGTGGGACCGATGGAAGAAAGGGATGAAGGAACATTTGGCCTCTTTTTAAGTAGATCTCTCTTTGTGCAACCGCCAGAACCAATGACTTAACACATGTGGAAGAGTCATGAGTTAGCAAACGTAACGTTTTTCAACAATAGCCACAATGAGGCTTTAGCAGCAACAATACCCGGACTGTTGAATTGGACAATTAGTTGTTAAAGGTGGGGTAGGTAATTTTGGAGAAACCAGCTCGAGTGCGCTAGAATTTGAAAATACACAGCCGGAAAAAATCTGCCACTTCCTCACAGAGCCCCTCCTCCAACACACACGAACGCGCACATGACCAATGAGGGCACGAGATAAGTTTGTGCACAGATGGAAGGCTGACAGGCAGGTAGGCCATCCAGTTATTTTAGCCGGGCCAGCTAAAATGATTGGTCGTGCTTTTTACAGTATTACGGCTTCCACAGATGACATTTTTTTATGGATTTTTTGTCAAAGCACTTAAGATATTCATTGCTATCGGGATGTTAAGAGCATTCCATGGAATATAACAACAAGTGTATCTCGAACCGGTTTCTCAAACTTACCTACCCCACCTTTAAGGGTCCTGAGGGTCTCGGGGACATCAGTCGTCCATTATGAGCTAATATTGAGCTAATATGTTCATATTCAGTGTCATAGAGAGGCCTTGTGGTAGTAATTTTGACTAAAAACCTGTACATGAGGCACACATGCACAAACACTCCTCTGTTCTTTGTGTTCATAGAGCAGAAGTACTGTGTTATATTACCTATTTATTGTAATATATTGTTTTATGTATTTTTGAGGTGACAAACGTTCAGGTGCCAGAGGTTCAGCAAAGTACAAGAGCATTTTGAGAAGAACAGATGTTTAAGGTTTGAATGCTCGAATGTACCTCTTGTGTTTTGTGATCACGCTCCTCTCTTTCCTCTGGTGCTGTAATGAACAGGAAACCAACAGGAAGGTGTATTTAGTGTTTTATTGGCCATTCTGTGAAGCTACTTTCTTCTTTTTTTTTTAAAGCAATGTCGTTTAAAACTTGTTTGCATGTTAAAATAAAAAAGTTCACAATTCAGGAAAGGACACATTGAAGGCTTTGTACTACTGTAATATTGTTTATGTGTAAATATATGCCCATTTTTGGTATGTAGTTTTCAGTTGTACATGAAAAGAAAAGTCGGACAGAAAGCAATATGTCTCTCCTTGTGTCCTAGCAACCTTCTGACAGCTGAAGCCACATGTCTTTTCTAAAGCAATGTTTTACTATTTCAACATTTGACTGAAATGAATAAATCATAGGTTTTATGTGACATCTCCAGGTGAGCTTGTGGTCTTTTTTGGGTAATGTTCATATTCTGTGTAGTTGTGTGAAACTTAAAGTGTTTGCAAAGTGAACTTTACCAATGTTTTGTGATTGTACTTTGCACAGTAAATATTTGCGGATGGGAGTTTGTCTTTCTGGAATACACGGCATTACACAACCATAGACAAACATACACACACATATATTTATACTGCAAATGTATTCATCCTTATTTCAAATCTAAGCTTAGATCATAATGAATCAAAAGGACAGGAAAGAGACACCATTTTATAGCATCTTTTGATTCATTAAATGTATTTTAATATATTGTTCATGTATTTTTAAGGGGACATAAGTGCCAAGTTCAGAGGTTCAGAAATGGGCAAGTGCATTTTTGAGAAAATGTTTTGTTTCTGGTTCACAACTACAATGCTGGAATATAAAAGTACCTGTTATGTTTCTTATCTGCTTTTGGGCATCAAACAAACAATTGAGTCACAACAGAAAGTGTTTGCCAAATTCAGTGACCAATCATTTTGGGCCAACAGTGAAAACACCCTCTCTGATGCATACAGTGTATAAAAGGAAGCAGCCTGTCACTTGTCACAGAATCTTCATCCTATCCAACGGTTCAGTTCAACTTTAACAGACAGAGACGGTGACATCATCATGCAGGCTTTTCTCTTCCTGTTGGGCCTGGCTCTCTGTGCTGTGTCTCCTTCAGAAGAACTAGTAGTGGAGCCACAGCAAAACAGCTGTCCCCTATTCTGGTCCATTTTCAACGGCCGCTGCTACAAGTACATCTCCACACGTTTGACCTGGGCTGATGCAGAGCTCCACTGTGTGTCAGAGGGAGGCAACCTGGTGTCTATCCACAGTCAGGGGGAAGATCATTTTGTCAAAACACTGATCAAGAGCGTTGACCCTGCTGAGGGATACACCTGGATCGGACTCAGTGACGTCCACAAAGAAGGAAGATGGATGTGGTCTGATGGGTCAGCAGTCACCTTTGTCTCTTGGGCAACAGGAGAGCCAAACAATCGGAGAAAAGAAGACTGTGTCAACATCAACTCTGGTTCTGATCACAACAAATGGAATGATAAAAGATGTTCTGATGGAATTCCCTCAGTTTGTGCATCTCGCACAACTCGTCCTTAGCAACTGAGATGTTATGTCTGATTGAATCAGGTCACTGTAAAACTGTGACTCAGTTAACATGCTTTTGACCACAATAAAGAAACGAATGTACACTTATATGTGCAAAGTATAACTGTCTACCAACCCTGATCTTTATTAATGATGTTACACATTTAGGTAACTCCAGGAGCAATAATCTCAAACTTAATTTAAAAAAAAGAGCTTGCGTGCGTACTTAATCCAAAACAAGGTTTGAATGCTGAACTACATATCGACTTTTAACATTTATCTAAGTAGTCATTTGGAGAGAAGAGAAGACTTTCAATAACATGTAATACTTGTTTTATCATCATTGAAAAGTCTGATCACAATATCATTGTCCATGTGGATTTCCCCTTTAAAGTGAGACCATGTAACTTTTGTAACAGAAACTTTCTTCAGGCAGGTATGGGATGATGCTAGTTGCTAAGCTGTTGTTAATCAGTTTACCATTTAGCTAATGACTAACCTCTGTAACAGTGGCACATGTGAAAGAGCCATGAGTCAGCAAACTGACTGTCCGTTATATATATATATATATATATATAGTGACGTAAAGTTTTTCAACAATAGCCACAATGAGGCTTGAGCAGCAACAATACCGGAACTGTTGAATTGGACAATTAGTTGTTAAGCGTTTTATTTAACAACGTGTTTTACTTCTCTTAAAAAAGTTACAAAGTCTCATTTGAAAGATGCATTTTGTGAAGTCAGTGATTCTGTGACAGCTAGATCTAATAAATCAGTTTCTGTGTGCATAAACATATGCATTTATCTTTGTATCTCAATTTTGTATTGGTTTTCAAGAGAATCAACCCACAGAACAAAGACATCGGTAAAAAGCAATGAAAATTATAGTAAATTAAATAAAAATAAATAATTACATTCAAAATAATAACATAAAACTAATGACAAAACGGGAAGAACAAAAACGATATAAATAAATAAATCAAAAAGAATAAAACAATCCTTATAATATATGTATTTTTAAATATTCAAGGGGTTACTCACCTATCACCACAACAATAATATACATGTTAAGTATAATAATCTTTCACTACTCCTTTCACTACATATCTAGCATGTGAACCGCAATGAAACTCAACCTCAACTTTTATCAAATAACTCAGTATTAAAAATGAAATCACACGGTTGATATACAGACAAACATGAACAATAATGTTGATAGACTGAGGCTCTGTGGAAGATAAGGTAAAATAAAACAGAAATGGTTTGAAATGAAAAGGATTTATTTTTTATTAAATGAGAAAAGTACAGTATCAACATGGAGACTTTTTGTTGTACACATTTATCACCTGCTTGTTCCTGTTGATATTATAAATTGTGTTTTATCCACGTCAGTCTCAGTGTATTAGATACAATATGGGAACCGCACAGGTGTAACAGCTGTTGAAGTCGCAGCAGTACCTAGCATTATCTTTTGGACTCTTTTAAAAAAAAAGAAGTCCTGCAATCAAATTTAAGCTACCATTACATGAGAATGTACTCCGATGTTTCGCTGCCATTGGATATAAATCATGTGACATTTAGTTTAGGGACCTGTTTGGATATGAAGCAATCTAATTTAAGTTTGTAGTTTGGATTGTATCGACCAATCAAATGTGTGCATGCTGGTAACAAGTCTGAATGCTCTCTTGATACCCTCGTCTAATATAAACTATGTAGATACACTACCAGTCAAAAGTTTGGACGCACCTTCTCATATTTATTTATTTTAATTTGTTTCTACATAGTAGATTTATACTGAAGACATCAAAACTATAAAAGAACACATATGGAATTATCTAGTAAACAAAAAAGTGTTAAAAAATCCAGAATATATGGCCTCTTTAAAAGTAGATCTCTGTTTGTGCAAAAGCCAGAAGCAATGACTTAACTGATCCTTTGGACTCTTTTAAAAAGTGGATATAAATCTTGTGACATTTAGTTTAGGGACCTGTTGGGATATGAAGCAATCTAATTTAGGTTTGTAGTTTGGATTGTATCGACCAATCAAATGTGTGCATGCTTTGGTTGCATTCAGGTAAAAAGTCTGAATGCTATCTTGATACCCTCGTCTAATATAAACTATATATATATATATATCATATTTGAATTATTATGTTATATGTAATGGGTATTATAGTGACTCCTGTACAATGCATTGATACCCTGCTGCTTGTAGAACAGAGGACTTTTTCCAATATGGGATTAATAATAATAAATATCTAGACTAACAAAGATCAACAGTATCCTCTTCCACTTTTATTTGTAGAATGAAATAAAGACAGAGAGAAAGGTAAGAAAGAAATGATGGAAAGACCGAAATAAAGAAAGAAGAAGAACGGCCACCATCTGATGGAACTAGCTTGTTTCTGGCTATTTGGTAAAACAAGTTGCTAGTCAGACTGAACAACAAGCTTTGTATGAGGAAGAGGAAGCCTGGATATTTGTTGGCTACACCTTCAGCAGCTTTGTTTATCGGTACTGATGTTTATCAAAAATAGACAAAGAGATCATATTAAAGATATGATAGGAGCGGCTTAGCAATGCAACAGGATATCTCTTGTGATGACTCAGCCCCACAATCTTCTTATTATGTGATCAACATTCATTTACAGCTAAATGTGCCCATTCTGAGTCCCGATAGGAGCTGCTGAAGTGGCTGGATTTGGATTGGGTTACAATTGAATAGGACATTGTATGTGAAAATTGGACCTTGTTCAGAGGGAATTACTATGATTGCCTACAATTACTCTCTCAAATATATCCACAGGGGTGCCCAAATAAAACGAAATACGGCATGCCGACACATTCTGCACCCGCTCATTAAGAGCCACAACTCCTTCAGTTTAACGTCTGAATAAAACAGGTCTTGAATGTAGATGGAGTGGATAACCTCAGCAACAAAAGAGATTTAAAGGTCACCTATTATGCAAAATCCACTTGTTCATGTCTCTTCTACATCAACATGTGTCCCCTCTCTGAAAAGAGACTCTGAAAGTTTCAGGAACAAAGATTCTCTCTCTTTTTGTCCTGATCCATTTATATAAAAACCTGTCTGAAAATGAGCTGATCAGATTTTGGCCACTTTATGATGTCATAACGTTGTTTTGGCTTGTGTAACCATTAGCCAATCACCAACCAAGGTAACCCCCCCCACCTTATCACCTGCATCTCCTCCTAGAGCACCATTGTGTTCTTTTTAACCAAATATCTCTCAGAGGGGCGTGGGGAGTGGCTCCTTATTTTCATCTAAAGTAACAGACAGAGAATCAGCACTTTTGAAACAGGGCTGAAACAGAGGGGATTATGGGATGCTGCAATGATCTGTTTGGTGTTTGGAGCCAAACACTTCAGAGACATGTTTTGTATATATCTGAGAACTATAATATATTGATGAAAAACAGTATAATAGGGGACCTTTAAGGCTATGAAATGCAGAGTGCATGATGTGCTGCTGACAAAGAGCGACCCCAGAGGTCAGGAGTTTCTGAATGACCCCAATGACTGACCCTGGATCAGGACTGTCACTCTCAGTGTGACTGCAGAAACACCAGCTGTCAGCCTTCAGGAGCTCTGACGCCGCTACAGAAACAGCAGTGTAAAAGCCATAACTAGCAGGTTACTCATTTAGTTTCCAAAAGAAGGCGAACTCTATTTGTGTAGCCAAAAGTTCTCATATAAGGTATTGAGCAGAGAAAAGTGTCATGAAACCCAGAATGTTTTAAAGACCAAGGGGACAGAAAATGCAATACAATATTTAGTCAGGTCAGAGGTCAACTGTGCATGCAGTTTCAAGGAGCATACTGTATAAGCTGTGAGATTCTCTAAGACTCTAGGAACATTACGCTGTAGACTGCTTTGTCAAAAGGTAATATTGTCTCTTATAATACTGGACAGTAATATAATATGTGTCTTCAACCATCTCTGTGTTTGTGTTTGATTGATTCCTTGTTTATTCTTTAAATGTTGTGAGTGTTAGAAATCGGATCCATGACATCAGTGTGGTCTGCAGCGGACACACTAAATCAAGAGCAACATTCTGGGGTTGAACACAAGACAGTTGACAGGGATATTCTGCAGCTGGTTTAGGAAAACAATTTACCTAAACTTACACAAGTTATGTAACAAACATACTTTTATTTACCACTACAGGATTCTAAGCCTAACCCAGTATCTACTGTACTGTATATGTTGGGTCCACCTATCAAGAACTTATAACTTACGGCCCGTCCACACGGCGGCGTGCGTTGAAGCTTCAACGCTTCTGCCCATTCACTTTGAATGGAGTGACGTCACGCTTTGCCGAACTGCATTGTGGTTGCGTCGCTTCGCTTTGCCGTGTGGACGCTGCGTAACACACTAAGCTGAGGAAAGTGACGTTACATTACATTTTATTCGGCTGACGCTGAAATCCAAATAGACTTACAGAGACTTCAATACCGTAGACATGCCTCACATTAGTAGTAGCTTATTTACCTCTTTATGTTACGTACTAAATGTACTTATTTTAACTTCCAATGCAAAGCCTTACCAGTGGCGGATTTAGGATGGTAGGAGATCCGGGGCTTAGCCAGAATTTAGAAGTTGTTGAGCGGGGGGTGAACTCGCCTCATGAACTGTAAACTCGCCGGAGCCTCGCAGCGGGGCTACTGCGGAGCGCATACATGGATGTATAATAAGAACTGGATACAGCGTCGGAGGCGGGGTCTCGTTCTTTCCTATGAGAGCTGCTCATTGGTGCATGAGGACAAAATGGCCCAACTTTTGAGAAAGCGAAACATCACAGATTACCCATCATGCCTGGCTGTCAGAGCAGAAGAACCCGTATGTGCGCTCACAGAGCATGCACCCCTTAAGCCCCGCCCCTAGAGCTCCCACTCTCGGCTCAGTAGAATGAATGGAGACAGAAAATAAATCTAGATTTGGCTTTTAGTGCATTTTAAAACTTTAAGGACCTAATGATTCTAATAAGGGCTATAAAATAGTTCATACTGGGTAGTTTATTTAGTTTAAAAAAAGTATCCGCTGATTTACAGACGTCTCTTTCCCAATGTTAGTCAATGGGGTAAAGT